CCCCCTCCCACAGGTTCCTGGGACACTGCCCACTTTGGAGGCTGCCACTCCACCCCTGAAGTGAAAAACCACGAGTGAGCACTCAGAGCACACTGGGGGACCTCAGCATCGGTGCTTGTGCAAATTGAACACTCCAACATGTGGGACTGGGCCAGGGCCACAATGTGCCACATACATGGTGGGAGCCAAGGGCCAGGTGGTGTCCCCACCTAAAAAAAGGCTTGCCCTGCCTGGCCCACTGCCAGCGTCCCATCCTCCTTGGGGGGGTCTCCTCCAGGTATGTTGTGGGCTCCATTCTCAACCTCTTCCACGGACCTTTTGGGGCAACACAGGCCAGCAGAGGAGGAAGATTCCTTCTAGCTACAGAGTTAGAAAAACAAGTCTCTTTCTGAAAGTTTCAAACTGAAGACAGGTTCAGGCCACTGCTACTAAAGAGGGATGGGGATCAGCAGAGGGAAGGGAGGGGAAACCCTGGGTAGAGGGAGGAGTCCTGGGGAGATGCAAGGGAAGAGAGGCCCTGGCCTCAGACGGCCTTTGCCCTGAGGTTTGAGTGAAGTTGCTCAGGCCTGACTGAGGCTGTCAGAAGCAGGGGTAGCAGAACATCCCAGGGACGCCCTGTTCCGTCATCCAGGATCTGTCCCCTATGCTCATACCCACAAGCAATCAGCAGGACAGACTCAACATGCCTTGTACACATTCCTACAGATGAACACGCTTTTGTGATGATGACAAACAGATTAACCCTTGTTGCCTGCATCTCTTCACTCCTGGGATCAGTGAGCAGGAATTGGGACAGCAAACGATGCCATGTTACCCAAATCTCTGCTTTCTAAACAGGATGGTGAAGGCAATGTGCTCTCACTGCCAAGGTGCTGGGTGCTCGTGACGCCTGACACCCATCTCAGGGGACACCCCAAAGACCCCCCTCCTCCGCACACCTCTGGATTTGGGCCCGAAGTTGCTTCCAGCTCTTACCAGCAGGGTTTCTAACAGGCTGGTTTTGTTGTTTTAGGCGCTGGAATTACAGTGTATTGCTGGGCCCACAGGCACCTGGGGCGGGGAATGAGCGCAGCCACAGAGAACAAGCTTTGTGCTTTGTCTTTATATCATTCTTTATTTATTGGTCCTACCAACGTGACCCCTCACCAGGCCCACTGTTCCCACATGCACTGGCTTTGCAAGATTTTGCGCCATGTCTGTCCCAGGTCGCGACTGATTTCTCCTTCCTATTCCTTTTCCATGCTCCACCTCATTTTCTCAGAATCTGAAGGCATTTTTGTTTGTTTGTTTGGGTCTGTGTAAAAGTTCCTTGGCAGGAGAACATGCATATGATCTTAAAATAAAGACAACATTCTGACACTAAGGCAATGCACAGAAAAAAAATACAGTACTCAGACATCATTGCAAATAAATACCCCATACAGATGAAGTTATCGTAAATGTAACATGGTTTCTTATGAATCAACACTGTAATAGAAGGTAAAAATAGGAGTCCCTACAACTAGGAATAAGAAATGCTCATTCCAGGAAACAGAACTCTCTTATTCTTGCTACTTATTATAATTTGCCCTTTGTTTTGGAGGAGAGAGGACACTTTCTTCTTCCTCTTTGAGTACCAATTTGACCATTCACACAACCTCACTCAGCAAACTGAACAGGACACAGACCTGGCTTGCTAAGGAGCTTTAGCGAGTTCTGTTTCCTGAAATTAACAGTGATTAGTTACACCAAGCAAGAGAATATATAACGTCTTTTTCTCACATCTGCAAAGAATGCTATGGCTAGCCCTCACCCCCTGCATGAGGCCGATGGCACCGGCTTCCCGGCCGCCTGCGGCTCTTCGTAAACGTGGCATGTTATTCACACCACTTGCTTAGCTTCTCCCATAAAGTCCATTTGGTTCCCAAAGCACACTCAAGGTTTGTGTTCACTTTCATTTCTCAAACCCAGGATCTGCACAGTAAAGAATCACTGACTAACAGAATTTTGCACAATTGCTGTTTTCTTTCCCTCAGTGAAGACGCCCAGGTTCAGGTGTGAAGGTGTAGTACGCCCACTCACACCTATTGGTCCACACTGGCCTTCAGCATTCTCAACTAGCTCTTCACTGTCCATTTTAGAGAATAAACTATGCCGGGATACCTCCCTTAACTGATGAAGGCACTACTGGCAATGATTACTAACAAAAAGGTGTTGAAATAGAACACCCTAGAAATTGACTGTAGAATTTTCTAAGTGTACCACAATTTGGCACAACAACCAGAGTAACAAAACAATTCCAATTTGGAATTTCACTGGTACAGTTGTATAAAATTCTGTTAATCAGTCATGCTTCACAACGTCCTAAAGCCCAGAAAATTCTGGAATTTGTAAATACTACTACTCATTCAATAATTTATCTTTTTTGTTTTCAAGTGTCTATAACTGTTTAACCAGAGCAAAGGTCAAGTTTTCTTCTTGTTACATTGAACTATTCCTAAGAATAATAATAATACAATATGAAAAACCCCAGAATCAGAATACCCTGGATTTCTTAATGAACATGGCATTTAAAACCTGCAATTTCCAACATGAACCACAACGCCGTATAATCCAAAAGGCTGCTGAACCACAGCGTGGATGTGTTTAGCCGAGCTCCTCACCGGGTCGAAGCCTTAACCTAAACAGTCTAGAGCTACACACTAGGACACAACTGTGCCACGTGCCAACGTCAGATCACCACGTCAGGAGCTAATACAGCGCTACAGGACCACAAGATAGACCATGGCATCTGAGACCATCTCTATGCAAGGGATTAAGCAAATATAATCAAAATATCAAAAGTGCACAGGTTGATCAAATGAAAAAGCAGTATCTGTCATAGGGAGACCCCAGTGGTGAGCGTTTCTAGCAGGTTCCTAAGCGAGCCTGGCAGTTGCTGTCCCAGCAGGTTCTTCAGCGCTGTACAAAGGCCCTTCCAAGCAGCAGCAGCTGGTGGCTTTCTGAACATTAAAGCTTTTTTCCTCTGCCATTAAAAACTCGGGAATGCTATTTAAAAAAGAATTGCAGTGGCATATCCAAAAACGTTTCTAAGTGTACTTTTAGGCTGCCCTTCCTTCCTCTGCGTGAGCCCATGGGAGGGGAGGGGAGGGGCTGCAGTGTGACAGGGTCGGTGGCCGAGTTCTCCCGGCAGCTAATCTACAGCTGAAAATGGGAGAAAACAAGACAGCGTTAGAACCAGTCACCTGTCGGACAACTGAAACTTTCGCCAAGCTGTGAGGCGTGGGTGCGTTAGCAGCAGAGAAGACCTGCATGTGTTAGGGGGGCCACCAGCCCCAAGTGCCTCATGAAGATACCTTACAGGTATGGAGAGAAGCTGCGTGCCAGACCTGGCGAGCGGGGCAGAAGCGGGGTGAGGGGCCAGCAAGCAGCCACGCCCCTGGAAGACCTGCTTACACAGGGACGATGGCCTGACCCCTTCTTAAGTGGGAGGGGAATCCAAGACCCAATGTCCCATCAGCAAAGCAGACCAAAGCCAGGGACAGGCATGCAGAGGGAACAGGCATGCCCAGCCTGCACCTCTCAATTCCAGTGGTTTGTAAAACCCAAGGCAGTCTGTGCAGCACCTGGAGTCTGGTGGGAACTGAGACACACTCGGGAGCCAGAGAAAGGGGAGTGGAGGCACACAGCTGTGTGAAGGGGCAACACAAACTCTCCCTTCTGGGCCATGGAAAGATGAGGAAGGGAGCCCCTAAGGGAGAAGACCACAGCCTCAAGCCCGGTGGCCCCTGCGGAGTGACAGGGAGCAAAATACTCAAGGGTTCTGCTTCTGAATGTGTCAACTCACATGGCCTGATGCCAAAGCTGTGGTGTGGATGTGACCTCTGGGAAAGGAGGGCCCACAGCTGCCTCTCTTGCCTGTCGCCACCCCTGCACTTGCCATGATTAAGGAGAACCACATTCCTCCTCAGTGAGTCCTCGGACCAGCCCTGGGCCCACACAAAACTCCTTTCCCACGCCGGGCTGGGATAAGGCTGGGGGTGTCCAGAGTCCTGTTTCTTAGGGTCTAATGTCCCCTGGGAGGAAGGCCTGATAATGGCCAGGGACTGGAGAAATCTGCTCTGAAAGCTGGGGACACCCTAAGTACAGAAGGGACAGGCTTCCCCCGAGGACAGGAGTCTGCTCAGGCACTTAGCAAGTTGTTCTCATGGAAAAAAACCCAGCCTTGGGCCTGCCAATTTGTCGCCTTGCAGGCCACCAGACCAATGGGCAAATCTTGAACGAGAAGCCCAGGCTGTGAGCTGTGGTCTCAGGGTGTGGTCAGGAGAGCCTGTGCCGTGTGAGTGTGACCGCTGTCGGGGCCGGAGGACTCGGGGCTCAGGGCTGCTCTTTCTCTGGGTTTGAGGGAAGAAATTGTGTACTTTTGTGCCAAAGGGGATTTGCAGTGAGATACTCCACAAACTATAAGGTAATTCTCTCCATCCTGTGAGGCTACAGCTGGGACCTGGGCAGGAACCTCTAACACTGCTCCCTGGATGCAGGGCAGCATGGCTGCTCTAGACACACGTGGAGAACATGCAAGAGTTACCTCAGGTCTGCCCCGGCCTTAGGGAGCTGGTGACACCCAGGCTCTAGGAAGCCATGTTCTTGTGAGGACTCGTGATTCTGACCCCACCTTGACTCCCAGACCCCCTGCCAAGAAACAGCTGCTGTGAAGGGTGCTCCCAGGGGTGAGAAGCAGACACGAGCTTGCCGTGTCCAGGTGGAGCAGCATGCCGATGCTGCTGGCTAAATCGTTCCCTATGTGCGTTAGTCATGGTTAAGACCAGCCTAGCACCACAGTCCCGCCGCCGCCGGGTTAGTCGAGGTGAAGCAGACAGGTGACGAGTGGCAGGTTAGCTGTAGTGTGCGACCCTGTGGCCCTAATCCCAGCAAATGTTATACTTCTCGCCGCAGAGCACCTGAGCGGCGAGCCCGGCGCCCTCGGTCCTGTTGCTGGCACAGGCGCAGGTATGACTTACGCTTGGGGTGCTGGGCTTGGCCTTGGGAGTGGCCTTGGCGCGGCCCCGCCGGCTCTGCTCGTGGTCCAGCTCGAGCAGCTCCAGCCGCTGGGTCAGTGCCAGCTTCTGCTGGATGGCCATGCGTAGCAGGGAGTTGAGCGTCTTCTTCTCGTCCTCGGCGGCTGCCAGCTGCCGCTGCATCTCATCCAGCTGTGTGATGTACTCGTCACACCTGCAGGGTGTGAGAAGTGAGCGTGGCTGAAGGACCCAGGTAGGAGATGGGGGCACAAGGTGAGGGGACTCCATTGGGTCGCTCTGCTCATGGGGCTGGAACAGGCCCTGCCCCTAGGCAGTTGGGCCTTTTCCAGGAGGGCTCTGTGATGCCGGTCTTCACTAAGGCAAGTGGACACTGCCCTTCAAGGCTTTCAGGTGACCCAGGACAGCTGGTTAGAGGTGAGACGTCACCTGGCTCTCAGGGTATATGGATAGTCCGAGGTCAGTGTGTGCACACAGAAGGTGCTCAGTAAAGCTGCATGGAATAGTCAACCAGAGCCTAAGAAGGGCAAGTGTGGACGCTGTGAATAGCCCATTTTGGCATCTGCTTAACTGTGACATGTGCCCCCACCCCCCTCAAGGTACGGAGCTGGGAGACAGAAATGCCCACTTGGACTCTGTCCCTGAGAGAAGGAGTGGGGCCTGGGTAGAGGGGGCAGTGGGAACTCTCCCTTCTCCAGGGACCAAGGGCCTACAGCAAGTTTTAACCCTTGCCCAGAGATAAGCGGGTTTGGGATCTCAGCTCCATCTGAGACGTTAGGTCTTTTAAATAGGCGAGGAAACGAGGGTCAACATATCTGGTGCTGAGGGACTGGCTATCTTTCCCAAGCACTCTGCCCAGGAGAAAAGGAAGCTTCCCGAGAAGCCTGGACCTTTCTTCCCTTGTCCCCCGACCCTCCCATCCCATCCCATCCCATGTTTGGGAAGTGAGGAGCACCCTGCACCCCGGTGTGAGGGGAAGCAGGTCCTGAGCTCAGTTCCAACTTCATTTGTCAAGGAGTCTTAGCCTCCCCGCCCTCTAAGACATGCTTGGACAGTTTAGAGACTGGTGCCTCAGTGCCTTCCCGACACTGGCCAGCAGATGGCACTAGGCCCCTCCGGATGACAGAAACACCAGGAAGCCTGACCTTCCCCAGAGGCTTTCCTGCTGCCCCCACCCCCATCTCTGACTGGCAGGGTCACATAAGGAACACCAGTGGAAACAGGACAGCCTTCCTTCTCAATCTACAAACTTTCTGCCAAGTTCTGGGAGGCAAACTCCTCACTTGTCAGTTACTGGCCCCAAACCTAGCTGTGTAACTTGCCCACTCGCAATCTGGCCACTGGGGACCTGTCTTCTTCATCTCTTGCCTTCAGCTTCCTCATCTTACATGTAAAGCAGAGAACAAAACGGGGCCCTCTGGGTTTTCACTGACAGCAGGAACGGCATAGTACCTTCCCAGGGAAGGCTCCTGGACACCGGCCAAGCAGCAACAGGGACCGTAAGTGTTACCTGGTGGCAAACATGGCGCGCAGCGAGGAAAAGGTGGCCGCATCCTCCTTGAGGGCCTTGAGCTCATTGCGCAGCTTCATCATGGTCTCGGTCACCATGGCTTTCTCGTTCTCGTATTTGCTCTTCAGGTTGGCGAGGGCCACCTCGGCCGTCTGGGGTTCAGAGACACGCAAGGTGGGTGGGTGAGGAGCACAAGGAGGGGTCTGCTTGCTTCTGCAAGTGCCACAGGCCAAGGCCTCTCCTGCCCCTGGCCTCGGTGCCCCAGCCCCCGCACTGCACCTAGTTGGGGCTCACACTCGTCTTTCCTTCAGTAGCACAAGCCGTACAGCTGTAGCCTGAGGTCTGAGCCACTAGTGGTGACACAGGCCCAGGAGGGAACTGAGGAGTGTGAGAGCCCCTGCCCACCTGCCCAGCTTTCCATCCGCCCCCACACAGTGCGCACCTGCCTGCCCGCGCCCTTCCGCACCCACCCACAGTGAGCACCTGCCCACCTAACCCCTGCACAGTGCACACCTTCCTACCCGCCCCCGCCACAGTGCGCACCTACCCCACCAACCCCAGCAGTGCATACCTGCCTGCCCACCCTCCCACACAGTGTGTACTTGCCCTCCCGCACCAACAACCCCACCACAGTGTGCACCTGCTTATTGGCCTTGAGCACCGTGCGCAGCGTGGTGATCTGCTCCCGCTTGGTGCTGAGCAGCGACTTGAGCTTGAGGATCTCCTCCATGAGGGCTTCCCGGTCTTTGTCCGCAGCAGGGCCCAGCTCCTGCGAGGCCAGGCGTTGCCGCGACAACTCCGTGGTGCGGTCCACGGCCGCCTGCAGGTGTCTGATCTGGTCGCGGATGATGGCGATCAGGTTATAGATGTTCATGGGCTCCCGGCGCGGGTCACTCAGGGGCGACGGCAGTGAGGAGCCAGGTGAGGGGCTGCTGTCCCCAGCCCCACCCTCTGTAGCCGGCAGCCCCTTGGGCAGGACTGGCGAGCGGTGCCCGCGAGCCTCAGGGCTACAGCAGCCAGCACCAGCTGGGCCCTCGCGGTAATAGTCCAGCACAACACGGGTGGGCGTCTCGTTGTTGCACATGCACACGTGGTGGTACAGACTAGCCAACTCTTCGCTGAAGGTCACCAACTCATCCTGGGCCACACTCAGGCTGCCCTGCGTCTCACCAGCGACATCACTGACCTTCTTCAGCTCAGTCTGCAGCCGAGCCAGCAGCTCACGGTCCTGGCAGCTGGCTTTCTCCAGCAAGGACACCTTCTCAGTGAGTGCCTGGCTTTCGGCCTCGTGTCGGCCCTTCTCCTCGGCGTGCCAAGCCTCGCTGGCCTCGTGCGCACTACACAGGGTCTTCAGCTGCTCCCGGAGCTCAGCGGCCTCTGCCAGGGCCACGCGGTACTTGCAGGCCAGGATCTCGGGCCCATTGATGTCTACCTCATAGTAGTCACCATCCTCGTGGCTGTCGCGCTCCTTCTCGCTGTCCAGGGCCGTGCGCCGCTCCTTGCCGGCCTGCAGGCGCTGCAGAGCACTCAGGGTCTCCGTCAGGCGGCTCACCTCCTCGTGCCGCTCCGACAGGGCCCCCCTCGCCTGCTCCAGCTGCTTCTGCGTGTCCTGCAGTGTCACCAGCAGGCCCCCCTTCTCCCGCTCCATCTGCAAAGGCACAGAAGGGCCTGTCAACAGCTGCAGGGTCCATGCAACTGGAGGACCCCAAGGCAGTCCCAGTAGTAACCCCACCTACCTGTCACCCTGCTGGCCTGTCTGTGACACTGTTAGATAGGACAAGGGTCTCCAGGTCTGGGAAGTTCTTACTAAATGCTCTTCTTAGTAAATGTTAAAATGAAGCACATATTTTACAGATGCAGCTGAAACTGGATGAGCTTGACCGGCCCAACAGGGTAACTTTAGCGATTAGCAAAGAAGAAATCAACACGTAATGAACCGAATAGTGTATATAAGCAATAGCTAAGCCTCCTTCAGGGAGACAGAGCTTTGGCTGTCTCCTCTACTGGCAAGTAAATAAAACTGCCTAATGACAGCCATGTCTTGTTCTTGAATAGAACACCCCAAGCAGCAAACCCCTGGAGTTCGGTAATAACTTGTCTGAGTTAGGTTGCCACATGTGGGGCCACCATCAGTTCTCCCCTGCCCAGAGGCTTAGGGGGCCAGGTGGGCCCCTCCTCAGAGATGTGCAGCAAACTGAGGGGCCGCAGTACAGACCCTGGAATTCCACTGTGACATGTCCATAGCACATGGGCACCACAGAAGGACATGAGAAAACCGCAACTGGCACCCAAACTTCAATCACATAATCAGAAGCCCACTTCTCTGGGCACCTTCCTCCTGTAATGCTGCAGTCCCACTCGCACAGTGAAGGAGTTTCAGGTAAATATAAGCTAAGATTTGGGACATCCACAATATGTTTATGGGGGCGGGGGGCGCAGCACGGCACAATAGAGGTGAGCCCCGCCCACCCACTGGCTTATCCACTCACCTGCATCAGCTGCTGTTTTAGCTTCTGGATCTCAGAGAGGTTGAGCTCACTGAGGAGGTCGGACACAAGGCTGGGGCAGGGCGGGGCCAAGCCGTCCTTGGTGGACATGGAGGCCTTGTTGTCCAGAGGCAGCTTGGCCAGACTGCCGTGCTCAAAACCGTTGGCCATGGCCTCGGTGTCATCACTGAGCTTGAGGCCATCCAGGGAGACGTGCAGGTGGCTGGTGTAGAGGGAATCATTGATGCTCATATAATGTGACAGCTCCTTACGCAGGCTGTTCTTCTGTTCCCGCTCCGTCTTCAGTGTCTCTAGTGCCTCCTCCAGCTGCCGCTCTGAGATCTCCTTGAGCCGGATGGCATCCTCCAGCTGGCTGTTGAGGTACTCGGTCTCCTCCTCCAGACGCTTGATCTCATGCTTGAGGCCCTCAAACTCCACCTGAGAAAGAAAGGGTGACACTCGGCTAAGCCTGAGCGAGAGGAGGACGCACCCGTGTACTGACTCCACGGCTGCTGAGAGGGTCCCGGGCCTGAGGTGTGAACACACAAGGACAGGTATGCACAAGTTGTGAGCCGGGCAACAGCTGGAACTCAGAGCTGGAGACTGTGGAAATCAGAACAAGCTGACTTCGTATGCTACCAAGTGTACAGTCATTTTAAATTCTACAAAATACTTAACATCAACAGCTGACTGAATATTTTAAGATACATAAAATACATATTTAGATGTGCACTATGACTTCTAATGATATTTCAAAACAAAGGAACATAAGTTCCCTGAGACGGGATCTGTGGCAGCTGCTCAGCACCCACAGCCAGACGCCTGAGTGAGCGAGTGGGAGAAGCAGCACCCAAAGTCATGCCTGCTGAAACTGTCTGCAGATGGACAAGGAAAGAGCAGACAGAAACCTGTGCTTGATGTGGGGTTCATGGTCTACGGGCAATATTAAAGAACATTTCTTATTATTCTGTAATATTTGTGCAAAAAATAAGTAACAAGCCACTCAGAGGCAGGACTGAGCGGATGTCTGTAGGTTGCAGCCTGAGGAAGGGGACTCCCCGGGAGGGGGCTGGACTCCACCAGTGACACCCAGGGTCCAGGGTGAGGTGTCTCTCCCCTCATGTCCCCTGTGACTGATATCACAGAGGGCCCTCTTATGCAGCCAGATGCAGAGTTCCTGAGCCTGTGTTTTGCAAGCACAGAGGTTCTGTTGTCGGGATAAACACATGGGCCCATAATTCCCTACGCAGAATTTAAAGTGGGAAAAAGATCCCCCCAGCTCCCACCCTGCAGGGCTGTGGCTCTTGGAGAGGTCGGTGACAGGGGCAGGCACTGAGGGACCTGAGTGCCCAGGACCACCCGGATGTCCCATCACAGGTGAAGGCGACCCTCTTGTCCCATCCATTGCTGAGATTACTCATGAACAGGAGATGACAGCTTGGACATCTCCACACTGCTCAAGAATGCTCCACTGGCTTTACCCAGAAGGCCACCTGAGGCCCAGGACCACCGCGGAGCCAAAGGGACTAGCAAACTTGAGATAGCGGGAGGAATCGGCAGGCTGACAGCTCCAGGGTGTCAAAGTGCATGGGGACGTCTTGGACCTCCTGCTCGCACTTGAGAGGGGGCTGAGCTGGATACCCAACCCCTAGAGTTTTTTGGTGTCACCTCTTCATCAGCTCCTATATTTTTCCCAATTTTTGCTGGCCATGACACCTTGGCCAGGCCAATGGTCAGCCAACACTGCAGCCAGAGGCCTTGCTTTCATAGTCATGTAGGGAAAGACCCTGCCACCACACACCCCGGTCCATGGTGGTGTGTGGCCCTGGGCTCAGGTGTATAGCAGGAGCATGGAGATAGCCAAGTGAGGGGGTGCGAGGGCAGTGATCCAGAGCCATGTCCCCCCCACCCCGCCAGCCAGATGCTCACCTGGTTCTGCCTAAGCACAGACACCTGCTTCTGCAGGCTGATGTTCTCTTCCTCCAGCTCCGAGTAGTCCTGCAGCAGGCGGGCCTCCCGGAACTTGTACTCCTTGATGTCGTCCCGAAGGCGGCCCCGCTGCAGCTCCACATTCTGGTTGATCTGCCAGGAGGAGGCAGGTGTGAGCAGCCTGCCCGGCTGGCCCCCCCCTCCTGGAGCACGAACTCAGCGCAGTCAGGCCTGGGCAGCATGGAAGAGTGATGAGTGAGAGCAGCCAGACACAAGAGGTCCCGCACTGTATGAGTCCACATATATGAAACATCCAGTATAGGCAAATCCAGGGAGAAAACAGGTAGGTTAGTGGTTGTGGGGCAGATGGGGGGATATGGAGACTGACTGCTAACCTAACACCCACTGAACTGTACAATTTAAGTGGGTGAGTTGTAAGGATGCCAATTATCTCATAAAGCTGTTAAAAATAGTTCCTGCCTCCAAGTTGCCCTGAGGACTGAGACGCCCGGCAAGGCAGAAGTGAGCAGGCATGCCGTGGAGTTTTCAACCTATGGCTAACACACACTGCGTGCCAGAACTTGGGTACCTTGGCCCCAGACCCAGCAACATTCTGGGGTCATCCTATATGTTGAAGGGTGTTTAACAGTTCCCTGACCTCTGCGCACCAAATGCAGCCTCTCCCCCAGCTGTGACAACTGAAACAGTCTCCAGACACAGCCAACGTCCCCTGGGGGCTGAACAGTCCCCCAGACAAACCATCTCCCCTCAATGCCCCTGCCCTCCAAGTGGCCTCTCTGCATATCTGCAAAGATCTGGTGTCCCCAGGCCAGCACCATCTGACCTGGGCCCCAGGCTAAAAGTGCCTCACCCACGGCCCCGCAGCTCCATCTGTCCTCTCCCAGCATGCTGGTGTCTCATGATTGTACCCATAACACACTTTGCAGACAAGATTCCACGATTCCATGCAGGCACACACAAACAGTAATGTAGCACTGCTACAACGAAATAGGACCAAAAAGAAAACAAGAGAGAAAAGGAAAGTAGCAGAAGGGGGAGAGTCTTCAAGCACAGCTAGCACTCTAACAAACCTTACTGCCACAATCTCCAGAAAATGGAAGGACACAACCTCCTCCGTAAGCGACCCAAGGAGGTGTCCAAGAACCAGCAGCAGAGGAAACAGACACCAACCAAGATGCCGACTGGAGAAAAGGCCCCCTACCCCAGAAAGCAAAACTTCTGGTAAACAGGCAAAAATAAGCACGATGGCAGTGTGAGCAGCAACAGGAGGAAACACACAATGACTCACTCTCATTTGTCTGGAGAGGACAAATTGCATGCAGCTTTGACTCTGGCCATCATCCATTTACAGCCCGACCAACTATGATGGTTAATTTTAGTGTCAACTTGGCTTGGTGTTTGACCAGATACCTGGCTGTTGATACACAGCAACCAGGTATCTGGTCAAACACCAGTCTCGATGTCGCCATGCAGGTATTTCTTTTTTTTTTTTTTTAAGATTTTTATTGGGGTATTGGGGGGATGGGAACAGTGTTGGGGAATTGGGGGAAGGGGAACAGACAAGTTGCTATCCTTTTGTTCTTCAGTCTAGTTGTGGAGGACGT